CATCTCAGAAACCTGCATCATTAATGACATTGTTTTGTAGAGTTTCGGGCTGACAGGTAATCAGCTGCCCCAGGGGGAAGTTATGGCGCGATTGGAGAAGTTGGAGAGGGTGTTGCGGGACTTGGAGAAGAAACAGAAAGAAAAGCTGGCGCTTATTAAGGTATTTAAGGACCGTGACAGCCAAGGGCTTCGGGAGCTCTACAAGGCAGTCTATCCCGACGCACCCCGGACGGCACTCGGGAACGCGCCGGCCACAGCCGCTAACACTGCCGGAGCTGCCGAAGGCTCCTGAGCCTCGGCACTTTCGGCCTGCCGGGCCCACGGCCTGCCGGGGCAATTCTTGTCTCGCGTCGTGTAATTTGTAGTATATCAGCTGCCTGAAGGATGCCGTGGCCTAGTCCTGGCGCATTTGTAAATGAAATGTCATGTTCTAGATGTGTGAAACTTTATGAATGTGTAAGCTACCGCTTACTCCGCATCTGGCGGACTAGTGAGTCTTTTATAACTGCTAATGTAGGGGCCCTGGGTGCCTCTAGCCCTGTCTCCAAATGCACGGACTGCTTGACATAAGCCGCAAAAGCTACCCTCTCAGCGTCGGGGGACTCTGAGACCGAATGCAGGTGCATATAGCACGACGTCCATACCATGGTTCCCGACCGATATCTCGCGCGTAAGCCTAGACCGGGGAACTCTATGACCACCCGATCATCTCCACCAATGGTACACATGCCGTCATAGTCGTCGGCATCACCACTATTGCGATCGCGATGGGTAGGGGTCGCTCGGTTGGATACGATTGCGAGAGCATTGAATGCGAAAGGCCATATTTCGAGGATATCCTCCAGAGTGGGACACTCTCGTGAGAGGCGAACAAGACACTCCCGCGCGAGTGCATATTGCTCAGGATGCGTGATGGCCAGAGCCGCCGACATCAAGGCGCCGAAGACGAGTGAGTTATCGAGCCAACGACGTGCCGAGGCTTGGGCGGCTGCCGGAGAGCTGCCGGAGCGGCCGAGGTCGGCAGTCACGTGAATTTCTTCCCTTGGTTTCTGCATAGTCTTCGTCATTGAATGCTAGGGCCATCATGGAGCAGGAATACCTCATGTCCCTGGGACTGTCTAATTCCCAAGGTAGCCAATCCGGGCTCTAGAAAGCCTGCCTCATCAAAGTTGGTCGCGGCTTGTCTCCAGGTACCTTTGGTTTGTGGACGGTTCTTCGCCTTCTGCAATGTGGGATTAATGAGAGACATGCTGAGGAAAATCTCGGCCTAAGTATCGTCAGCGAACACAGCCATTGTGAGCAAATGCGGAATTTACCTGTCGATTTCTCATAAGAGCATCAGGCACCAGGAATAACACCAACACTCCTCTTTTGTCTATAATTGAAGCTGGTCCTGACTCTATGACATTATCAAGTCCAGGATACATCTCGCTAAGTGCTTTCTCCAGTGCAGGGTTGTCACCATCTTGACCGCCAACTGATGCATTGTAAGCTTTGCAACTCCAGCTCAGCCTGTCTTGATGGAATTAGGTAGGAACCCCCTTCAGACACGAAAAACTCACATTGGTTGCGTAAAGCCCTTCCGAAGCCGCGGACTAGATGGCGAATCTCGTCTTCAACTCCGATATCTATGACTGCCCGGTCACAAATGGGACGAGGAGCGCCCTCAAGCCCCAGCTCCACGGCCCAAAGTTGTTGGGCAAAGTGAGCTACAGAATCAGTATACTTCAAAGCCCAGGTTGAGGGAATAGCACTCTGAGCATCGTCTAAAGGCACAGGGTAGAGAGAGGTCATGGTGGGTGAAGCCAAGATGCCAGCACATCCCTTGTTTGTGCCTTAATGATGGCATTGATGGCGGGCAACAAGTCCAGGTGGAGGTGCCGGATCTGCCGGCGGGTGCCGGACAATGGACGAAGAACAAGGCAACCCGTAGGCTGCCGAACCTGCCGGTGACGCGTCTGTCGGTGCCGAACCTGCCGCGCTCCTGTAGACACGGATGTTCTCCCCTGACGGTCGCCACTATTAATGATGAAGGAGCTCTTTACAATCTATAAGTTTGCCTCGAGCTGATTTTAAGGGTGCGTTTGGCAGACATGAACGATGACAAAAACCGTGATATTTTGCCCAAACAAGGCAATTCTGACGAAACTTGAAGTCCTTCGAGAGCTTTGTGGCCAATCACGAAGCTTAGTCAGGCCAAAAGTCATAGATTGTGAAGGCCTTCGTTTTTTGCCGAACGCACCCTAATAATCTAACGAGATCAGTTGGCTATCCTTCTCACCCATATCCGGCCGTTGGCTCTATCTCTGGGTCATTTGTGACGGGTTCTGGCTACGCCTCTGTTGGTACATGTGTGCTTGTATGCATACTCGCTTCCCGCCTACAGGATGGCTCTAATCCGGAGGGCAACCCGTCCTGTTTCTGGGTTGCTGACATATGCGCTGCCGAAGCAGCCGCAAACGGCGTATCCGGCGGGATATAACGATCGATCCCCCGGTTTGGCCAACAACGCTACGTTCGTTTGTTGTAGAGCCAAACAAATATTAAAATTACTGTGGCAGCCAACCAAGGGTGCTCCAACCCATGCTGATAAGCATTGGGTTTCAAAATTCACAATTCTATTGGCTACGGACCCCCTATCCCGGCCTGATTATATGCGGGAATGGGCTAGATCGGCCAAGCCATGCACCCTCTTATGGTCCTAACGCTCTCTAAAGCTGCCCAAACGCTTGCAAATTACCGTATATCCCTGTCTGTGCGGTCTGCAGCGGCGAATGATATTCTAACCTTTTTTTCGCATTTTCTGCAGGGAGCCGAGAATGCCGGATTGGCCGAACATTTCTTTTCGTCGGCGGGATTGATGCCTGCGGCTGCTGCCGAAGCTGTCTAGAGTAGCCGCAGACCGGCCAGCCCGGCGCGCTGCATTAACCGCCGAGCACGCCGGTGCCGCCGAAACGACCGCTTGACGGCATGGTCAGTGTGCCGAGTGGCCGTATAAAATGTGGCCGAGAAGCCGAGTCCGCCGTGCATGGCACATTCGGCACAAGCTTCGGCATGCCGAGGCGGCCGGAAAGGACCCAAAAAAGCGGTATTCCCGCTTATTAATACAGCTTTCTATACACTACGCTACCTGTATATACCATATCCGGACAGGTACAGTACGTTTAATACCCTTCCGACACTCCCGGCATATACCTCCGGCACCTACTATTTTGCGACCCCTCTACCTGCCTGGGGCTACTTCCCGCGCGGATCCGCGTCTTCGTTCTCAACGGGGCGTGGCGGCATCCGCCACTACGTTTTCCACGAAAACTCACAGCGGTAATGTATGGCCCACGACCGGAGCTTACAGCGCTGGCTCGACAAAGCTCTCATTCCATTCGGTGTGCAGTGGGAGATCTATCGCGGCATCACTATGGGTCTATGGGACGCTGATGACGTATCTCCTTCGCGCATCAATCTTCTTCGTGGAAGCAACACAGAGAAAGGACCTCAAGTTTTCTCAGTCATGCTGGAGGGTCGTAAGGATGTTGGCCGCTATCTACACAAGACCGCTGAACAGCAACGCGTCGAACTGGAGATATTGTGCGCTCTGTCTCTTTTTTTGACGCCGTGCCGAGCTGACTCCGAACATCAGCGAAGAATGCGATCGGGAGCAGAAGGCTCGTTTTCTTGGGACCGGCGCTGGCATGGGGTGCGCTGGCAGTTTCGAGGAAGTACCGGACTACTACGGCGGCAGGATTCAGCATACTGTGCAAATCAGCGTCGACGGCGGGAAGCTGAAGTACCTGCTGCTGCCACTCGAGATGAAACGCTCGAATCAACTCTCACGATTTCTTGGCTCTCGCAGCGTTGTCGAGTTTCGCATTTCCCGGCGAGATCGCAACGACATCAACCTTTCCCTGCTCGAACGGCGCTTCGTGCTCTTCGGCTATGTATATGTACCTTGGAACGCGAAGGACGGCAGGGCGATCACTATCGAAACGAACGAGAACTATGAGCGAACACCTATAAGCGCACTTGGCGACGATTGCCGCCGCTCTTATCGCGAGACGCTCAGCATACTCAACCCGCCCTCGTTGAACCATCGACAGGTAACTGTATAGCATAACTTATGTGGGACCTTTCTTGCTGACGCATTCCCTTCAGGTCATTACGAAGTACACGGCGCGCCAAGACCTTGCGTCGTCGACTTCTGTACCCATATTAGTCTTCGAACCGAGATACGTCGAATTCATCGAAGACATATGTGCGTACTTTGATGCTTGAGATGTGATGCGCGACCATGGACTAAAGTGTCATACAGGGATCTTCGGTGTCGACCCAAAGACGGCACCGGCCGAAGCTTGCCTGACCGATGGGTGCAATTTCGTCAGTTATTCAGTCGCAGTCGCCGTACAACGTCGCATGGGACTGGAAGACGTACCCATGAGCTTTCAAGGCCGTGCATGGGGCTCTAAGGGCCTCTACGTCGTCCGGTTCGGCGATAAGGATCCCAAGGGGCCTTACAGGCTCTGGATACGTGATTCCGCTTTGAAGATCAAACTCGACAACGAACGTTGCCCTCATTCTCATCGAATTCTCAACTTCGTCGCCCCACCGCGTGTCTCTCAGCCTGCACGCACCAATCAGCAGACCATCCTCAATTGGGATTTCAATGGTGTGCCACCTACGGTTTTGGAGAAGCTCATGGAGGATGCTGTGGCAGACGACACTGTGCCTCTTATGCGATGGGCTGGCCTTCACTGGCGTGAGCTACTATACGAGGCTATCACGAAAGCGGGAAGACTGGCGAGTGCGGCGCTGAGCCGCTTGAGTGGTGGTTTAGGCCGTGCTATGGGCGTCACCAGCAGGTTCATGGCCGAACCTCAGGACGTCGATTGGGAGATTCCCGACGATGAGTTCAACAGTCTCGAAGAGGAGCTCGCAGACTCGGTACCGGTCCTGGCACGTGATAGCGGCCCTCCAGACTCGGTCTACGAGAGGACGCGCGATCTTATCAAGGCTGGGTTTCACCCTGCTAAGTGTCCGTATACCGCCGATGCGATGGAGACGACGGTGAAGGCCACGATCAGCCGTTCATTGGACGGATATCATTTCACCGTCAAACATTCGTTCGAGGCTTTTATCGCTCCAGGTCAGTTTCCGCGTTCTCTACCACACGCCGAATGCTTACTGGTACACAGCCCCGCCCGGGACGCTCAAGCCCGGTGAAATCTTCTTCAAACTCAGTAATCCGATAGAGCATCCAGTCACGGGCTTGAAGGTGAATCAAGTCCTTGGTGAGGTGCTTGTACGTAGCTTTGCATCATGCTGCAAGAGATGTCGCTTCAATAGTTCTCCAGATTCACCGCAACCCTACCCGCAACGCGTCAGATATCCAGAAGGTCACTGCCGTCGACTGTCCGGCGCTGGCTGACTATCCGAATGCAATCTACATGTCCGTCGACCGAACTTGTGAACGGTCGGGTGCTAGCTATCTGGGAGGAGGCGGTAAGCACATTATCTGGGTTCCACCTTTCTTACTGCTGACAGAGATATCGTAGATTACGACGGCGGTACGCACCGCATGATGAACTACCGAACGAGATCCTGACTCTTGATAGACACCGCCATGGTCACCTACGACCCCGACATCGTCAAGCACTTCAAGAATCACGTATTCGTTTCTAAACCTCCTGAGGTCGACGTCAGGTTCGAGAAACACGCTGAGCGCGTGGGAGACTTCTTCAGTCGCTTGGGCCGGTTACCTCCAGCGGAACGTCACCGCGAGTACGTCCGTGTCGCCCTCGGCGGCTTGCAGGACCGCAAGGTCGGCATGTACTCCCAGATGCACGACGTTTCGGTCTACCGATACGGGTATAACCACGAAATCACGGTCATGCTGGCTTTCATGTACGCGTCTTTCTCTGTTCACACGATTGCGTGGCTATACATTGATGGCAACCTCATCAGCTTCTGCACCTGTCTCGACTCGCAAAAGATGGGCCTTCGTCTGCGCGATGCACCTTTCAAACAAGACCTCAAGATGTTCCACAAGGATCTTCCCCTCTCGATGCGAGCCAAACGCTCAGAAGGCGACGACCAGCCGGTTGGATCAAAAGGCTACAGCACAGCCAAGCGCGATGCGAAGCTTCCCCCCTTCGTGCTCGACCGCCTTCGCAACTACGGAGAGCTCATCTACGACAAGTACTGCGCACAGTTCTCGGAGCTTAAGAGCGAGCTGTCGAACGACGATTTGGCGCTGAAGCGACCGTACATCGCCATGCGCGAGACTGTGGAAGCGCTGAAGAATGACGGCGCCATAAAGCTCGATCTGGCCTTCGGGAGCGCCAAATCCCACGTCACCACGCTGGACGAAGAGTGGAAGGCGATCTGGAAGCGCCCTAACTTCAAGATGTCCGACAAGCGGAAGCGCACGGCGGAGAACCGGCAGATCGCGCGCCGGTTCGCCAACTTCGCCGTTGAACCCCTATACTCGAACATCCTTTCCAGTCGGGTTCTGGCGTCTTGGGCCTACTACTTTGATTGCGACACCAGGAAGACTCGTAAGGCGATACCTCAGTTCGCGTGGTCGATTGCGTTCAGGCAGCTCTGCGAGATTAAGGCGGAGAGCTTGGGCGGGAGCGGCGGTGTCGTGCCCGAGATCGCGGACTTGTTGACGTTGCCACGGTCTGCGGTAACGCTTATGCAGTCGCGCGCCGCCGAGGGCGCGGGCGCGTCGTGATCGGCATTCGCGAACTTCGACGATGCATCATCTTGAATTCCTCCTTTGGCGCGCTGGCGCTCTGCGACACTCCTCCCCGACCTTTCATCTATTATCTATCTCTTCGTCTTCATCTTCAAGTCTTGCATCCACGTCTGCTAACATCGCACAGAACAAATGTCTCCGGAATCTCTCGACATCTTGCTATCATCATCATCTCATCCCGTATCTCTTGCTTCTTCCTCAACTTCTGCAATCAACGCTCGTGCTCGTCCGCTATTCTGAATCCTGCGAGACGTCTGCCTCAAGACTCGCCACCCCAACATCAATCTGCTTCAAAACTGTTATCGTCAAACCTCCTCAAGACGAATCTGTGTGATCACTGCTGCAAGACGCTAGTCCCAACATCAAGCTTCTTCAAGCTCCAACTGCAAGACCTCAAACTTCAATCTCTTGTGTGCCTCAAAAGCTCCGTACACTGGACTCGGCGTGAAGAGCAATGAAAGCGAAAGCATGTCTACGTCATACCTGTACGATGGGGTTTCTAGTGCTTCAGAAGTCAGTTGCTTTACTGTAAGGGATTATTTAACACCGGAAGATCAGGGCGAAACGATGTTACGAAGGTCATGGCTTTGACTGCAAGACCCTTTCTCGCGCAACTTCGACTATTCTGCCATAGTTCTCGCCTCCTACAATCGCTTCGTCTCGGACTTGGAGTATGGCTAGGTCACTTCGCGTTCTGGAGAAGCTCAGCATTGTCGTGTCGGCGTCTCAGGGCAGGATGGAGGAGCTCAAGAACCGTATGGTATCCCCGTAAGACGATATCTGACGCTTGAACTGTTCGGGATCTTGCATGCTCAACGTTGAGTCGTCTTTACTCTGGTAGCTGAGCGCTCAGCGCTGAGTCGTCAGACTTCCGCGACAACCCGTAAGTATGTAGAAGTATCTTCCACGTATGTTCATTAGTACTCCCTGGTACCCTTATGGGCTGGGTTTGGTCATCGTCGCAGTGTATCTTATCAAGTTCTCATTTCGAACGGTCATTCACGCAAGGTCAGCGCGGGCCAGAGCAATGAGATTGCTGGAACATGGGGTGCATATACGCATACGCATGATGAGAGGAAGCGACCGAGAGGCGGGCAAGGGGGTGTGGACAGTACAGCTACAAGTACAGATGGACAGCGAGCTTATACGGGGAGGGCGAGCGCCTTCTTTCCGCGGAGCTTCTTGGGCAGGTCCTCCTTGGGCTCCTTTTGTGTCTCGAGCAGGCGCGAGACGCGGGCGAGGGTGGGCTGCGAAGAGAACATGTGTCAGCATATGTACTCTTCGCGGACAGGAACGAGAACTGATAGTGATGAAAGAGGGAGAAAGAGAAGAGAATGTAATCGTCAAGTCGTCGGGCAGACGCGTAGAGCGGTCGTACGCCGCCCGATAGCGTATGACGAGATGGCCCGCGCAGGCTTGATCGGTCCCGCGCGGGCTTGGGTCGTTCTTGCAAACATGTCCACGCCCAGCCTTCAAGAAGTATCCAGTGGGTTCTAACGAGATTGCGTTCTGGTTTTGTGACCCCAGACCATCCAATACAACAAAAGTCCCAAAAAGGAAGAATAGACGACGGAATGAACGTACTGCGCGGAGGTCGGGGCGGTAGCCGGACTTGGCGTACTGTGCGGCGGCACCAAGGGCCTTGCGGCCGCCCGAGCGAGCCTTGATGGACTTGGTCGAGCGAGCGCCCTTGACGGCGTGCGGGCTGGCGTCGGCCTTGCGGGTCGAGATCTGGATCGAGCCCGTCGGCGTGGCGGTCACGGCAATCGCCTTGGAGTTGGCGAGGCCAGAGTACTTGTGCGAGTGAACGTTCACAAGGTTACCCTGCAGATATCCATCAGTATAAATACATATTTGTTGAGGACGTCGCGTACGCACGGGCTCCGTGGAGAAGATGGGGCCCTCGACCAGCTTCTTGTGTGTGAACGAGTTGCCCTTCTACATTTTCGTTCAGAGTTTGCAAGATAGTGCACTGGCAGCATAACACACGCGGAGGAGCAGCCACTCAAGGTCGTTGGAGTAGTACGTGGCCATGGCGTCGTCGTTGGGAGGCACAGCGACCGCGCGTACCAGATTATTCCACCGCGCCGCCGTGAGCGCGTGCGAAAGGCGCGTAAAACTGCCAGTCGCACGCGCGGCAACCTCCGGCGGCCAATCGGCCTCAATCGGTCCGAATCGAGCCTGCAACTTCAACTCGAACCTTCATGCAGCGCGGCGCAGTCCGAAGCCAATGCATACTTAGCGTGCCATAGTCAATGTAGACCCGATATCAGAACATGCATTTTCGCCAGCGTACCTGTCCATGTCAGTGCGCAATACAAGTGGTCACCAACGCGCCTTTTACGTGGTAAACCCTGGTCTTGTCGACATTCGATACTACACCATGAATCTATATGGCTACGGATGTCCGACGCGGACGGCTCTGGTTCATGTACGGTTAGTCAATTGGCTTACACCGAGCTAGTATGGCTTCGATTATGGGAGGCACGTCGTTCCGTATCACTCCAAGAACGAAGCCAGTAAGGAGATGTTCTTACCTTGCAGGCGGTATATCTAAGCGCATCGACCCCTCACGGCTGGGTACATCGTCTCCTAACATAACACAAGCTGTCAGCTTGCAGACGCCGTCGTCGGCTCGCCGCTACCACCCGCCTGTCAGGCTGCCTTTACGTCTTGTTCTATCGCAGTTGGAACACTTCCATGTCAGGTATCCGACCCGTAACTGTCGATCTTCACCCCTGCACTCGCTGGTGCTGGTCTATCGCTTTGTCGTCTCTGCGCTGGCCAAGCCATGATCTATTTTCATACTCGTATGATGCGGGAGTGCGCTACAACCGGAAAGCGCGTCCGAGGGTATTCTCAAGGCAATCGGGATACCTTCCTTGGTATGTCCAGCGCTCGCCCTGCATTCCGGGTACGTACGTCGGCCCGTCCCCGTACTTTTTATGTGATAGCATACTGGTGCCACTGACAAGATCAGTCTACTCGACAAGCCGTACAGCGCAGGGCCTCGCGACGGATGCCAGATATGGCTTCCGTATTTCCAGCGGGCCTCGGTACGCCGGCTTTTCCACCAAGGCGTTAGAATTCGGCTGTCAAGTCAGCGCATACACCTCCTTGAACATGGCTGATCATCGTGCTCAGCTGAATACCCCACTTGGTGCAACGGTTCTTCGTTCTGCGAAGGCTATTAGTACTGCGTGAAAGCCGGACGACAGTCCGAACAACGTGTCCTTCCCAAGTGACATCTCATTTGGAGATAGGGCCTCCGGCATGATATAAATACAGGCGTCGATCTGCCATAACACCCAGCATCTAACTCTCAAGCCTCACCAAGCACTCGCTATCATCATCATGCTCTCCTACAACCTCGCCAAGCTTGTCATCGTGTGCGCTGCCCTGGCACCGTTCGCATCAGGTGCACAATAGTCTGCTTCCAACGTTATCGTTCGCGCTAACCAAGTGGTTCCTGCAGCTTTCGATGTCGCGTACTCTGTCTATCCCGACGCCACGCTCGGTTTTCCTGCCTGTGGGGCCACTCCCAACGAATCGGGTACATTCGCCTCTGGGACCACAGGTGCACCAGGCTGTCAGAACATCCCTACGTCCTACTATGGCCAGTTCAAGCTGGCCGCCAACGCGCGTAGGTATTGACACGGTTATCGAAATTTATTGTGGCTCATGTCATTTGTGGCAGCCGTGGGTTGCGTACTGAACTTCTTTACTGGCACCAACTGCGGCGGCACCCAGAATGCCGGCTTGATCATCCCAATTCCGCTCGAGCCTGGAGTGCAGACCGGGTGCGCGACTATCTACGCTACGCAGCTCTCCATCACCGACCCCAAGGTTCCCGGGATGTCCCTTCAAGTTGTCTGCCCGGCTTGAGCTCTGTTTCGTGTGTGTTCCGGCTCGACGAGCGTAACGCGGTGTATGAACTGCACTGTCTTTCCTATGTAGTACCACTGTCCGGGGCCTCGGTTGACGTTGAATGTCTCTTCTGTAGGACCTCATACTCGCAATCCTGTAATATCATGAATAAACGCCCTCACCGGGCTGAGACGTAGTTCTGCCGTGTTTCTGAGCCCGAGATCAGATGAAAAGGTTATTAACGGGTCGACATAGAGATGTCGCCATATGAACATATGGATCTGTAAAGCTCGAATTATATTGTCGATAGTAGTCTGAAGAAAGCATCGACGTATACAGACTATACACGTGTCGCACAGCACTGATCGTGAAACGCACCAAGTACGTGCACCGAGAGGCACGCGTATAACAATTTTTGCACAGATGAAACACCACGGTCTCCTCTGTCTATGAGCACAACCCGGGAGGGAGATGTCCCATTCCATGATGGGCGAAAGGAAGACGCGAGCCGGCGGTCTCAGTTTCGGCTTTCCAAAGCCGAAACCCCGCATGATGCGGTATAAAAATGTATTCCCCCCCCCCCC